CAACTCTCATAATTTCATCTGGATCAAGAAATGGATTCAGAGATTTCAATTTACTACCGTAGTGGACAGGTCGATTCATTTCTAACTCCTCTCTTTCTTTGATTAAAACTACTTTTACGGATTTTATCGCGTTTTATTTATATTAATTTTAATACCCGACGTTTCGGGTGCTTTCCAGCACCCATGGTCACGGGGGACTGAGGTGACTGACGTCCCGATGTCAAAGTTAACCCGGAGTACCTTCAGCTTTTTAATTATTGTCTTTGGTCCGATCTACGCAGAATGAACTAACTGTATTTTGAAGTCTTGCAGTGGTATGCTTGGGTTTAGTTTTAATTTTATTAATCGCAAACTGCAGACTGCAAACTGAAGTCTGCAGTTTGCAATCATATTCTAGATGGCCCCACTATTACATCAGATTTGACAGACCACAAATCCTCGCGAAAGAACATCGATTCCTACCAAGGATGATACGTGAGGCTATTGAAATTAAAAAACATCCTAATTTCAATAGAGAAGGAGGCTGCGTACTACCACTCTCTTTCTCTTAAAAATGCTTGCTTCTGACACATTACACATTTGTTCATGGCGTTATCAATTTCTTGTCCAGACAAATGCAAATGGTTTGGTTTGTTTTTCTCGAACACTCTTAACATATATGCTGTCACTCTTAATACTTTTGTTAAATTTTAATATTTCTCGAATAAGTTAAATTCATTAGTTGTCTTAATGTTCATAACTTTAATTGTTTTCTCCTCTAAATTTGTAATATTGTCTTTTAATATTTCATTTTCCGGATTTTTCTGTTTTAAGTTTTTTGGTCCTTCCTACCACAAAGTATAATTTAAGAGTTGCGATGGAAAAATGCCACGTGACGCAACATCAGCTGGGTTACATTCAGACGCCACATGATGCCAATGTTGAGAAGGCAATGAGTTTATGATTTCCGCAGTCCTGTTTGCGACAAATGTCTTCCATCGGTTGGGGTGGCTCTGTAGCCACGCAAGAACCACTTTAGAATCACAATATGCAAATATATTATCTTTTTTGATATTTAATTGCTGTGCAACTTCCATAAGTAGATTGGCTATAAGCATGGCACCACAATATTCTAATATTGGTACAGATATAGTTTTAATAGGAGCAACTTTAGTTTTTGTTGAAATTAAGTGCGTGTGTATGGAGCCATCTTTTTTTACAACTTTTATGTATGCGACGGCGGCATAGGCCATAGTAGAAGCATCAGAATATCCATGCAGTTCGTGGCATAAATCTTCATTATTTGTATGCAACCATCTATTTATTGTGATGTCTTCACAATTGTTCAGTTCTCGTCTGTATTAATTCCATTCTTCCTTTAGTATATTTGGTATCTCCTGGTCCCAATCTAACAATTTTTGAATGAAAATCTTTGCTGTTACTATAACGGGTGCTAACCATGCAATGGGATCATACAGTCTAGAAACTGTTGACTTCTTTTTGTAATTATTTCTGTATGGTTGTGATTCATATCAATTACGTACTGAAATTTATCTATGTTTCTGTCCCATCTGATACCTAGTGTCTTCACTACGTCATCGTTTTTCACAACATATGTATTATCATCAGCCGCATTTTTTGCCTTCTCTATATATTTTGAAATTTTTTGTTGTTACAGGTCCACTTCTGTATTTCGAACCCGCCAGTTTTCATCATTTTCGTGATTTGTGTGATATCTCTTTTGCTTCTTCCAAATTATCACGGTAAGGAGATTATCCATGTAAAAATCTTTTATAGCTATTTTTGCTGCAATTGGAAATTTTTCTTCTTCATTATGTGCCAAAATTTGAACCGTTTTTGTCGCTTAATATGATGCGCACTTGCAATGCCAAATGTAACTCTGGTAAGTTTATATTCTTTTAGTTCTCCGTGTTCCCTCCAAAGAAGTCTTTGTAGATTTGCACATTTGTCAGTAAACTTAATCTGTCGATACATTTTAATGCAATCCGCGAAAAATGCTACTTCGTATGTTCGCCTAGTCATGACAATATGTCTTAATTCACGTTGTATTGTTGGCCCTACATACATGTTATCATTTAATGACTTTCATTTTGGTCCTTTAGAGGAGGCGTTAAAGACTATTCTAATTTTTTACGTAGTTTTGTCTCTCCTTATTACAACATGATGCGGTAAATAAAAAATTTAATTGGTGGGTCTGATTGCTTCACGGCTATCTATTTCCTCCATGTGTCCTAATTCTTTATATTCCATTAAAACCTTATTGTATTCTTCTTTTAACTCTATCTTCGTCTAATCTTCTTTCTAACTGATCTAGTCTTAGTTTTGCTATATTCTTAGTGTTTCCGTAGTCCATACTCGAGTCTTTTATAGGTAATTTCACAACGTATCTCCCTTTATAATCCCTTGTGTATGTGCTTTCATAAATCTTTTCACATTCTAACTCTTCTTTTGTCATTCTCTTTTTCGAACTGCAAGGCATGTCAGATTCGATTTCCCAAAATTTTTGTAACAATTCATTGTCCTCGTTAATTGTAAGATGCATACTTAAAATACCTTTTTTTCTCTCGTTGCAATTTATACTTATCTCACCAGAAAGCCCCTAGTTGTGTATTCTAAGCTAAGGGTGAGCCAGGAGGTCCTTTTACTACTCCCTTGTTTAGGATTCTACTCTATACTGCTGCGCCCAAAAGTAAATCTATTATCCCTGGTATACCATAAGTCGAATCTGCCAATGGTAAGCCTTGTATATGTTGAAATGCTACCAGAACTTGTGTCGACGGCAGCAATCGGGTTAATGTTTTTAGTACATAAGCGTCCAAACTTAAGTTGAATTCGTCCACAGTAAAAGACTGCAACGTAAATGTTACTTTATGTTTAACCTTAAAAGTTTTTGAATCCCCTATACCGCTGATGGAACCATTGATTGTTTATCTTTTCAAACCTAGGACTTGGGCAGCCGACTCGGTTATGAAAGACTCTATCTCTCTATCAATGCTCGTAATTGCTGTATTCTCCCGTTTTCCGCTCTAACTTTGACTAATGCAGTCGCCAGTAAAATATTCGGTTTCTTTTCCATGGCTAAGTGTGTAATTATATCTTGTCCTTTATTGGAAACAAATTCTATATTTTGCATTTCATCGATTGAAGTCCCTTCTCTATTTTGTATTTCTTCGACTGAAGTCTCTTCTTTATTTCTGACACATGCTGTGTTTATCTCATAGATATTTTTAGGAGGTGGATGTATTAACGAATGATATTTCTTGCCACATATATGACACCGAGCTTCATGCTTACAGATCTTGACTCCATGGTATGGAACGAGACTATTGAAGCAGAGTTATTTTTCCTCTATAACTTTCTTTTTATCTTCGTAGCTCAAAGCTATAAACTGTTTGCATTTACGTATGAAGTGATCGCCATTACAGTATGTACATATTATATTTCTTTTACTTTCAGTTTTACTCGCATGGTACACCTTTTTCTCTGTCTGTTGCATATTTTGTCTGGGGCGTCCAGTGTTCACTCGATTTGATTGAATTCCTTCTAAAGATCTAAATCGTGCTTCTAAAAATTCTGTTAACATATGGAAGGTAGGAAGTTTATCATCGTTTTCTCGGTTTATTTTTTTCCCATTGTTTTAATGATTCTGTGTCTAATTTGTTGACTATTAAAAATATCACAATTGCATCCCAACTATCGGTGTTTACGTCTACGCTATTAAGTCCACTTAGACATTCCGTTGTCGTATCTAACAAATATTTTATTGCGTTTGCCGATTCAGTATGTATGTTCCGAATTGACATTAACTTGTGTAGGTATGCGTTAACTATTACTCTTTTGTTGCTAAATCTTCTTCTAAGTTTTTCCCACGCGTACTCATAATTTTTACCTATTACGGCAATATTTTAAATTAAGTTTGCTGCTTCACCTACCACATGCGCCTTTAAGTAATGTAGTTTTTGAACATTCTTTAAACTTTCATTATCGTGTATTAATGATACAAATTGATCATGAAATGAGTGCCACTCTGTATAGCTTCCATTAAATGTTGGGATTTTTAGTGTAGGTATCTTAATATCCATGGGCGCGGCAGTAGATGAGTTCAATGACTTATCCGTAGTTTGATTTTGGATTTTTTGCGGTGTAATATTTTGTAATTTGTCTAACATAGTAACTTTAGTTAAGGTGTATTCTTCCTCCGCAGTAAAATAAATATCGTCATTCACATAATTTGTAGTTGCAAGTACTTTTTTGTCGTAAGAACGCAATAACTTCATGTGATTTTCTTGTAGATCAACCATGTTTGATCCAACAATTGCAATTTCGTATTAATATAATTTATATTTAATCTGTCTTTCGGTAATTTTTTGAAATTACTATGAGTACGTTTTATTTGTTCTAATAGTTCAATTTGTGCACTAATATATGTATCCATTTTTACTTTTATGATAACGTTGTTAACTTTTAAAGACAACTTTTAAATAAAGTAACGTTTGAAAGTTTTATAACACTAATATTATGCCCAAACAACTTTGAAAAATATACCACTTTTAAACATTTTTGTCTATTCTCAAACGTTATTTCGGTCTACCCATAAAACTTTTAATTTTACTACGTTGTACGAACACATGAGATCTTCAAACTTAAGTTCAAGTCACCAATACTACACTTTTTGACGATTTTTATTTATTAATTTTTTATTTATTATATTTTTTCCAATTTTAATTATTTTTTTCCACATATAGATAGTCTTATAATGCTTTAACACAATTCGCTATAATCACTGTTTTAACTTTTAACTAACTGTTTTAACTTCTAACTTTTAACTAACTGTTTTAACACTTTTGAAGCTGTTTTGTTACCACTCTTACTGATCACACTTTACCGTTACACTTAGTACCGATTACTGTTGCGACCCTACCTAACTAATTTCGCGAACCCGGCCGGAGGAGCATGAATTATTAGAGACAGATTCGGTATTGTATTTGATATATATGTACCTCAGCGACGTTGAAATCGATGTGGTGTAAATCGGCGGCGTCTAGTACCAGCAGCGGCGACGCGGCGGCCAGCGCGCGCAGGCGGCGAGACACGCGCGCGCCCGCGCACCACTGCAGGCGCGCCGGCACGCGCACTCGCACGCACTTATTATTCTAAATATTATAGTATTACATAAGATATGTTTGTTGTTAAAAAAAATGTATAACTTCTGTAAAATTCCTGTACACCACGGCCACAAATTAATTCCATCTGTTATTCCACATTTGTTTGTGTATTACATTGTTTAGTATTTAAACGTTAACTGTCTACTATTGCTTATTCTTTAAACTTGGATTATTATTTTAGTTAAAAATTTGCAAATTTTAAGGATTCGAGTTATAAAAAAATGATACCGAAAAATAAATAAGATTGACCAAGTATTTTACTTAAAAATATTTCAAAACAATATAAATAAATAACAACGACGAAGAAAACAAAGATTAGGGGTTAATACAAAACAATATTAGATATTTATGGGAGGGGCTTACGTTCAGCAGTGGATTTTAAGGAGCTGTGATGGATAAATGGATGGGTTATCAATAATTGAATCTACTTAGATGTGGTGGATAACGTGTGACAGGTTTTCAACATGGTAGAGTCACATTACGTGTATATTATAGTTAAACATGAATAGTTATTATCCTCGACCGGGGTAGTATCACGCTCTAATAGAACACAGCGTACAAAACCGGAGACCGTTCTTACTGGAAACGAGGTATTCCATCTTAGTCTTCAGGAGCGACAATCTGCATTTTGATTCTAAATTGGGGATAAAATTAAATGTCTATGGGTCACATTCTTCACTTAACAAAAGGTATAAAAAAACTATGTGTGTAGCGATTGTGTTGCGATTGTGTTGCTATTGTGTTGCGATTGTGTTACAAGTGCGTAGCGAGTGTGTGAGAGGGAGTGTGTGGTGAGTGTGTTGTGCGGGTGTAGCGGGAGTGGTGCGGGTGTACTCACGTGCTGTGAGGCGGGCAGGTGCGGACGCGAAGCGCGAGCGAGCGCACGGAGCAGGTCCGCAACCGCGCCAGCCGCGATGCCCAGCTCCAGCCCCGCGCACGCGCCCACGCACACCGTTACCGCCCACACACCCAGCTCGCATTCTGCCAACATACACCATCGTTACACACGGCCGCGATGACCAGCTCGACCTGCGCACACGCCTACGCACACCGTCACCACCCACACACCCAGCTCACATTCTGCCAACATACACCATCGTTATACGCAACGTACATCAAGAAGAGCCGTGGTAGCTCAGTGGTTAACGCTCGCTGTAAATATAACAGAACGCGAGTAACCCGGGTTCGATCCCCGCCGGCACCAATGAAAAAGTTAATTGCAATTTTAAGTGCTGATTTACCACGTGCTCGGCGGTGAAGGAAAACATCGTGAGGAAACCTGCATGTCTGAGGAATAAGAAAAAAAAATATTTCGAAGACATGTGAAGTTCGTCAACACGCATTTGGGCAGCGCGGCGGACACTTCCTTGCCCTAAACCCTCTCAGAAATGAGGGGAGGCCTGAGCCCAGCAGTGGGACGTATATAGGCTGTAACTTAACTTAACTTAACACCATCGTTGCACACGGCCGCGATGCCCAGCTCCAGCCCTGCGCGAGCGCCCACGCACACCTTCACCGCCCACACACCCAGCTCACACTCTGCCAATATACACCATCGTTACACATGGCCGCGACGCCCAGCTCCAGACCTGCGCACTCGCCCACCCACACCGTCACCGCCCACACACCCAGCTCGCATTCTGCCAACATACACCATCGTTACACATGGCCGCGATGCCCAACTCCAGCCCCGCGCACGCGCCCACTCACACCGTCACCGCCCGCACACCGTCACCCCCCACACACCCAGCTCACACTCTGCCAACATACACCATCGTTACACACGGCTGCGATGCGCAGCTCCAGACTTGCGCACGCGTCCACGCACACCGTCACCGCCCACACACCAAGCTCATATTCTGCCAACATACACCATTGTTACACAGGGCCGCGATGCCCAGCTCCAGTCCTGCGCACGCGCCCACGCACACCGTCACCAACCATACACCCAGCTCGCATTCTGCCAACATACACCATCGTTACACATGGCCGCGATGCCTAGCTCCAGACCTGCACACGCGCCCACGCACACCGTCACCACCCAAACACCCAGCTCGCACTCTGCCAACATACACCGTTGTTACGCATGGCCGCGATATCCAGCTACAGCCCCACGCACGCGCTCACGCACACCATGACCGCCCACACACCCAGCTCGTATTCTACCAACATACACCATCGTTACACACGGCCGCAATGCCCAACTCCAGCCCCGCGCACGCGCCCACTCACACCGTCACCGCCCGCACACCGTCACCGCCCACACACCCAGCTCGCACTCTGCCAACATACACCATCGTTACACACGGCCGCGATGCACAGCTCCAGACTTGCGCACGCGCCCACGCACACCGTCACCGCTCACACACCCAGGTCACATTCTGCCAACATACACCATCGTTGCACACGGCCGCGATGCCCAGCTACAGCCCCATGCACGCGCCCACGCACACCGTCACCACCCACGCACCCAGCTCGCACTCTGCCAACATACACCATCGTTACACACGGCCGCGATGCCCAACTCCAGCCCCGCGCACGCGCCCACTCACACCGTCACCGCCCGCACACCGTCACCGCCCACACACCCAGCTCGCAGTCTGCCAACATACACCATCGTTACACACGGCCGCGATGCTCAGCTCCAGCCTCAAGCACGCGCCCACGGACACCGTCACCGCCCACGCACACCATCACCGCCTACGCACACCGTCACCGCCCACACACCCAGCTCGCATTCTGCCAACATACACCATCGTTACACACGGCCGCGATGCCCAGCTACAGACTTGCGCACGCGCCCAGGCACACCGTCACCGCCCACACACCCAGCTCGCATTCTGCCAACATACACCATCGTTACACACGGCCGCGATGCCCAGCTACAGCCCCGCGCACGCGCTCACGCACACCGTCACCGCCCACACACCCAGCTCATATTCTGCCAACATACACCATTGTTACACACGGCCGCGATGCCCAGCTCCAGCCTTGCGTACGCGCCCACACACATCGACACCGCCCACACATCCAGCTCGCATTCTGTCAACATACACCATCGTATTATCATGCCAACGTACACTCTGCCAATATACACGGCCGCGATGCCCAGCTCCAGCCTCGCGCACGCGGGCACTCCTCCTGGTTTGTTCTCTTCTGTCGTTACGACATTCACGGTTGTCGATATACTGGATGACCTTTTTGACCGTCTGGAAAAAAATAGAGTGTAAAATATGAACGGAATAGGAGCCTATGGCACTGATATTTTACAAAAACTAAAAACAAAAATTTTGAACAAAATAAATAAATTAAAATCTATCGAATTTCTAATCATATCAACCCTAGCCTGTGATCCTACGAAGTGACAAGGTCAAAAATAGCTATCAAATTTATTGTTTTATTGCCGTTCGTAAAGTAGGGAGGATATGATTTGAATTTCGATAGATTTTTATTTATTTATTTATTTATTAAATTCAAAATTTTTGTTTTAATTTTTGTAAAATATTTGGCTTCTACTCCGTTTACATGTTTCACCCTATTTTTTTCCAGACGGTAAAAAAGGTCATCCAATATAAGTAATGGATATTTTTTAAAGAATAAGGGTACTAAACAAACACACAGTCAACCTGATGGTAAATGGTTGCTGTAACCCATAAACATCTTCACTCATCCTCATCAAAGTATCAAAATGCAGATGCGTTATCAGTTATCAGCCCTGAAAACTAATATAGAAGACCTCGTTTCCAGTATAAACTGGTTCCAGATCTCTACACTCACCACACGAAACCAAGCAGCAATAATTTGCTATTTTACGCTGGTATTCTGTGAGAACGTTATCCTACCCCGATCGAGCCGACCCATTCGTGCTACAACCATAATATAGCTGCAGCGTTGATTTACCGCGTAGACTTATACTGTAACTCACGATCGCAAATTAATCTTCGACTTTATTTTGGTTTACAAATGTATCGTTACGCTATATAGTCTACTCATAATATTATCACATGTAGGTATGTCTTAGAAGACAATGAAGGAAACTAAAAAAGACGATGACCCTGACAACAACTAAAATTATTAATAAACCTGCATTTACCAACCAAAAAGCGTGTCAGCTACCACCCCTGAGACAATCTACGGGAGAAGCTTTTAACAAAGAGAAGTTTTTAACAATTTCTGATGATTGATCGGAAAAAAGCTATATACTAATATATATATATATATATATATATATATATATATATATATATATATATATATATATATATATATATATATATATATATAATCATCCTTTCACGGTAAATGTTGATCCAAACTGATATACTTTGATCCATTCTTGATGCTCGTGTGACGTCCGTGGATCTGCACTAACAGGATTTTAATATACTCGTCAGCGATTTGACCAACATTTGTTGATCTATCAACGGTCGAAAAAATCATACTGAATATGAGTTTTTAGATCCAGAGTATATTTAATTTATATGCGACATTTACTTAGACTAAGTGGATCCGGAGCCATAATTGACGAATAAGTACTCGAACACGAAGCGGCAACGTCGCGTTCTGTGTGTGACAGAGAACCCAGTGGGCTACTTCGATATAGTAATAAGGTAATAAAATACGTTATCTGCTGATTTTGTGGATCAAACTTTGGCAGGTTTTATTGTAGAAAGACGTTTGTTCGAGTTTTTGTTATCGTGTGAGTGAATTTGTGTTATTTTATTCATTTGTCATAGATAAATTAGAATTTGATGGATAGTACTTTATTACAAATTAATTTGTCACTCGAGGTGTGTGTGTGTGTGTGTGTGTGTGTGTGTGTGTGTGTGTGTGTGTGTGTGTGTGTGTGTGTTTTATGCGAGTTTGTGTGTGCGCCTGCGTGTGGGTGTATGTGCGTTCATGTATGTTCATGTGAACGCATGTGCGTGCGCATGTGCGTGAGTGTATGTGTGCGTGTGTGCACTGTTGTGTTTTTTAGTACGTGTGTGTGTGTTAGTTTTTTTGGTACGCGCGCACACATACTACACACAGTGTTAGTATGTGTGCGCGCGTGCGCGTGCGCGCGCGCGTATGTGTGTGTGAGTGCGTGTGTTAACTGTTGTTCTTGTGTGTGTGTGCGGTTGTGCGTGTGTTTGCTTTTGTGTGTGGGTAGGAGTGTGTGAGTGTGTGCGTGCGTGTGTCCACTATTGTTTGTGTGTGTGTGTGTGTGTGTGTGTGTGTGTGTATGTGCTTGTGCGTGTATGTGTGTCCGTTTGTGCGCGCGCGGGTGTGTGAGTGTATGTGCGGGAGTGTGTGTGTGCGAGCGCGCGCGTATATATATATGTGTGCGCGCGCGTGTGTTTGTATGTGTGTGTGTGTGTGCGTGTGTGTGTGTGTGTGTGTTTAGGTGTGCATGTGTGTGTGTGTGTGTGTATGTATGTGAGTGCGTGAGAGCGGGCGTGTGTGTATGCGCGTGCGTGTGCGTGCGTTCGGGTGTGTGTGCGTGCGTGTGTGTTCGTCTGAGCGCGTGTTTGTGTGTGTATGTGTGTGTGGGTGTTTGTGTGTGTGCGCCCAGAAAACGGATGCGGAGAATGGAGACGTGGTGGAGGCGGAGGTGAATGCAGCGTAGTATGTGGTGAAAGCGGAGGAGAGGAATTTGTGGTGAAGTCGGAGATAGTGGAAACGGGGAATTGTGTTGGAGGCGGAAAGAATAGTGACGGCGCGTGGTGGTGGCGGCGGAGGGAGCGGAGTTTATTGTTGAGGCGGATGGAGCAGAGTTTATGGTGGAGGCGGAGGTAGCGGAGGTGGAGAACGAAGGCTTAGAGAGGGGTGCGGTGGTAGATGTGGAGGCGTATGTGGCAGAGGTGGTGGTGGGTTTACTAGAGTGCAGTAAAGTGGGTACCGCGTGAGGGCAAGTGAGGCTTATATAAAGGACAGTTGGTTACAGCGAAAAACAGTGTAGCTGGTAAGTGGATATCGATACTGCCCCTAAAGATGTTACT